ATTTTTAATGATAACAGGTAACCAATTGAAATGTTGTCATTTAAAGGGACTTTACTGATGTTTCCAATACGCAATCTGACTTTGCTGCTATTATCACTTTACAAATATTTGTTAAGCTGTATTTGAATAGACTTCGTTGCCAAGGTTATATATATTTACGTCTAATCTCACGTCAGTTGGTGATATTCTTTTTAAATGTTTTAAATGTACAGCTCTGCTGTTACAGGGTGACATGGAACAAAGTGAACTTACTGAAAATATTTTTCTTCATTATACAAATGCATTTAATTAATTGCCCACAACATCTTATTACAAGGGAACTGGCCAATCCAAGCATTGTTCAAAATTATTTACAGTATTTATCCCCTATATTTTTCACATATCTACTTGCTAGGTGTGAATAGATTAAATGTAGAAATTAACACATTAAGATCTCCCTCATCAGCCCACAGACTCTGAAATCTGGCAGAAGAGGAGTTGGGGGAGGACCTGAGGGGGTCAAACCTGCAGCTCTGCCAGGTCTTAACATGCGCATAGTCGTCTCGTAGGCATATCCCTAATAAACCCACTATTAAACCACCCACCAATTAAACACGGACACCAATATTTCTTGGGAAAATATCACAGCTTTTATTAATCATCTTGTTTATGCATAAAATGTAAATAAGCTGTCAAACTCAAACACACTTAAAGACATTGACACCCAACAAATTTCAATGTAAACACTTACAGACAATGACCCCCACTCAAATGACAGCAATCTTAAAACAATATCTATCATAAAACACAAACAGTTATCACAGCCACCAAGGGCATCTTTTCCACAGCCACCAAGGGCTTCTTTGACCACTTGTAGGGGTATACAGAGATACCCCTACACACCCAGGTTCAGAGCAACCGACGAGCTCGAACTTACCAAACCAATGCAAACATAACTATTGCTCCTGAACTTGAACTTCCCCCCACTTACCAAGCCAACCTACCCCCAATTATCCTATCCATCCCCCACGACAGCACAGAGCTTGACCAACTCAAGCTACCTGAGTGTCCCCTATCTGGGTAGGCAGATTAGAAAGAGGCAATCTCTAAGATGGCCGTCATTTATACCCCCTATTAATCCCTTACCATTTGCTTCCTATGCCTGCCTTTAGCTCTGTCATAGCGCATTCCATCTACTATGCTGTTCCATTGGCTACATGACATGCGCATAGTTGCCTTATTGTACATATCCAGCTTAACCTTGATACCCATTCCCATTAAAATGCAGACTAAAATTTAAAGTTGGAAAATATTTGTCCACAGCTTTATTAAAACACATATTAGCAAAATAAGGTCATTGCCCCCTCCAAACACCCGTTACTTAAATATCCTTCACTCACCACATGTAATTAACCCACGCAATGATGCACACATATACATATAAACCATGATTGGCATGCTTTACAATATATTACTACAAATTGAGTAAGGAGCACAACCATAAATGTTTATGTAAAAAAGAAAAAATCTTTATTCAATAGGTACACACTAATAATATATCTCATTACATGAAAAGCCAAGATATAAAGTCATATCATGTTGTAAAACAACAACCAGAACAATTCTGTATATATATATATATATAAACGTCAAATGCGCAATGAGTGAAAAGAAAAAAATGTCAATATCATAGGTAGTAAAAATGAGATACCAATACAATCAAACCCTACAAATACAAATAAATATAGAAAAAAAATAAGCATATTAGACCTAGTGAGAAGCAGGGACAGAGTCAATCACCAAAAAACACCCCCAACGTTTCGGCAAAAATGCCTTTATCAAGGGAGCCTGTTGAGAGAAAATAGATCCTGTTCTTATATACCCAAAAGAAACACATAATTTAAGAACACCTGTAGTAAATGGGTGGCCACCCATAATGACCGAGGAAACCATAAGTACTGAAATGTACACATCCATGTAATGTACAGGTTTAGAAAAGAGATATGCAAACAAATAATGTACAGCATTCAATTTAGAACATGCAAACATGTAGTGTGAAAAATCAGTATCATGAATAAACTGGCAGAGCTATGTTGTAATGAAACAGACAAAAATATAACTTTAAGTCAATGTTAATGTATGTATATATCACCATCCAGAGTCCTAAACTGTAACAAGTAAAGAAAAAATTAAAATACATCAGAAGTGTAATCAAAACAGAAATACCAGAGCTTGCAAATGAAGGGACCCGATCAGGTAACTTAAATTGGTTGGAAATACATTCAATTAGGAACGCAGGCATGAAGAGCATTATGCGTTTCAAATATCCGAACCCGGAAGTGTACTGTGCACGGTGGAACACAAATGCGTTCCAATACGTCGCGCCACGTAAGCCCATCAATGCCAGGTGCATGTGCAAAGCCGCCAGTGCACCATAAACTCCCTGAACCTGGAAGCAGGAAAGAAAAGGTGGAACGCATATGCGTTCCAACACGTGAAAAAATGCGACCTGATCGATGATTGGCGCGGGAAGGAAATTAACTACCAATTGCATGTTGAGACACTAGTAGAATATTTGAGAGTCAAACGGATCCCTAGGGGCATGAGATCGGGCATTAGACCCTACCTTTGTCAACACAAACCTAAATTTGAGGAAAACTGGCAAAAGATCTTTAATAAATGTAGCTTGGATCTAATTGCACTTACTATTGAGGGGATAGAAGAAGATTTGACTGAATTGAAGCAAGTAATTAGCATTACTAAAAGTATAATATTGACGACTAAGAATCAGGAATCCTTTACTAAACACTCAGAGGAAATTGAGAGCATTTTGTCTAAACATAGGATAGATACCCTTAATAGGAAACTATCCAAATTTAAACATGACACGATAGACTATCTTGATAACAAAGTTTATAAATGGCAATTTCATCATCAGAGATCTAAGGCACCCAGAGGGGAGGAATGGAAGCTATAACACAGGCCCTGGGTAGACTTGAGCTAGATTCAAAACTGAGTGAATTTGTTTGACAGCTACTGGAATTGGTTTTATCATGCAATTATTTTACCTTTGGAAATGATTTTTTTCTACAGATACAGGGAATGGCTATGGGGGCCAATATGGCTCCATCATACGCCAATCTGTATATGGCCAAGTTTGAGAAAGATTTAATTTATCCACATCCTTTATTCAGATTTGTAGCTGTTTGGTTTCGTTACATCAATTATGTATTCTTTCTTTGGAATGGCTCAGAGGCAAACCTCCTATCCTTTAAAGCGGACTTAGATCAATGTGTACCAAGTATTAAATTTACTTTGGAACATGATGCCAATAGTATACATTTCTTGGATGTCAGAGTAAGTAAAATTGATGATGGTCTGTTTTTCGATCTTTTTCGAAAACCAACTAATAAGGTTACATTTCTGCAGGCAAACTCGTTTCACCCGGCCACTATTATCCGAAGTCTTCCCTTCAGCCAACTATTACGTGTTCGATGGATTGTGTCTCAGGAAGCAAGCTTTCATACCCAGGCATGGAAGATGCTAGAAGATTTTTGTTCCCATGGTTATAATGAAACTTCTTTGCAGGAAGCATTGGTTAAAGTGAAAGATTTGGAGAGGACTTCATTACTGAAGACTGAGGGTAAGGGCAAGAGAAAAATGCCTAATCGTATCCCTTGTGTTACCACATATTCTACTAAGTTGGGATTTGTTAAACATGTCATTAACAAGCATTGGCATGTCCTACAGAGTGACCCAGAGATTGCTGATCTTTTTAAAGAGAGACTATTAATGGCCTATAAGAGATCCAAGTACATTAAGAGCTTGGTATCGCCTTCTAGAACTAGAACAACGTCTAAACCATCCATTACTTGGTTGGCACCTATTAAGGGTATGCACGGATGTGGACACTGTGCTTATTGCAATAATGTGACCACTGGTTCTGAGTTCACACATCCTAGAACAGGAAAAGCATTTGCCATCAAGGATTTCTTAAATTGTCAAACGGATCAAGTAATTTATTTTATCAAGTGTCCCTGCGGTCTTGGTTACATTGGCCAAACATCTAGATCCTTAACTGTACGTATTGGCGAACATAAAACCACCATTCATACCAAGAAACGGCATATTTCTTTTGCAAAACATTTCATTGATTCTGGCCACTCTGTGGCACAATTATGATTTCAGGCTATTGAACGTATTAAAACACCTTACTCTGGTTGTTCCCTTGCAGACTCGCTCAAGCGTGCAGAATTGTGATGGATCTATCAATTGGATACATTATTCCCTCATGGGTTGAACAAAGATTGTGACTTCAATCCCTTCAGGTAAAATGGTCACAAGCATGTGGTACATTTGCCACATAATAGGATGTTGTCTATTGTTCGCTACTTCCCCTACAGGGACCGTATCTAGATGGTTCGTTTTATTTATTACCTCTGCCTGTGATGTATCGAATTTGTGATTATTGTTACTGATTTTATCTTTTTCTTCTTTTAGTCTTTGTGTCCATTTGGGTTTTTCACTTTTGGGTGGCCTTCTGATGATTGGACTCCTTTCAGGAATACCTATAAGATCTTGGTTTCTTTTCCGGATCCTTATGTTGGAAGAGACATGTCTACAGAATTACCATACATACTTCTGAATTTTATGTGTGAATATTATTATTTTTTTCTATGAGCAGGTTATCAGTTGTACAATTAGGTTTAGAATTTTTCTAATACTTGTATATATGAAGCATCATTGTTTCAAGATGATGGTATTTCATACCTGGAATTTTCCTGTGTGGCTTGAGGTGCATTGACTGGTTAAGCATGCATCCCTGACCTTATCACTATTTAAATATTTCTTATAGATGCTTGTATTTAAAATTATTTTCTATGTATGGATTCATTTTCTGAGTGCCTGAATATATAGATGGTGCTCAAGCCCAGACTGCTTTGTGCTTATTTCTATTCTTATGTCTAGATATGCATTTCTTCTACTTCTTATTATATTTTAATTTTTTTCTTGTTTTTCACACATATTAGCTTTACAACAGGGGCTGGAACAGTACACTTTGATCCTGTTTTAGCTCCCTAGTGGAGCTATATGAGCCTCTTTTTTAAATTCCTTATTATAAAACTGTTTTCTTTGGTAATATAGTATGGTCAGTGGTTCTATTATCGGTGGTTGGCGCATGCACCAATCATCGATCAGGTCGCATTTTTTCACATGTTGGAACGCATATGCGTTCCACCTTTTCTTTCCTGCTTCCGGGTTCAGGGTTCATCGAAAAGACAGCCCAAGAGATGATGACAGTCCAGGTGAACAGGCAAAAATCTAAAAGCTGACTTTATATCAGCTTTTGCCATGAGGGCGCCAGAGCCTGCTTTTCTCACCAACTCAACCGCATGGTCGAATGACACATAGGAAACAGAACAGAGCTCTGCGTCGATGACATCATTGACCAGGGAGCCTTTAGGGTATGACAAGTGGTGGATCAGTCTAAACTTACCCTCCTCTTTCTTAGGGACAACCCCTAATAGTAAAATCCATAGGTCCATGAGGGGAGGTACCCCAAATGGCCCCACTATCCTCCCCAGTTGTACATCCTTAAACAAGTTTTTTACTCACTACCCCTGGGTACTGAATAAGTGACTTCAAGTTTTTAATACAACGAATGACAACCCTTTCCTTGAACGGAATAAAAAAGCCTTTTAAAAAACCCCACCCGAAACAACCGCGCATCTTCCTGGTTAGCGTACCTGCATATGACTGTGAATTGCCCCAGTTACCCTGCAGTGTGTGTTACTATACTGGCATCCCTTTTGTGAGTTTCCCCTAGCTTGACCCTGTATTTCATTCTTTGTGTTAGTAAATTTGGCTGAAAGACCAATTCAGGTCTTTCAGCCTTTTAGAAGATAGCTCTCTAATACTGTGGGAATTAGGGAGTTATCTACTTATTCATTCCTGTCATTACATTGACCGGCCAAGTAACTTACATTTTATATGAATGTGTGTTACTTGATTGTTGTAAGTGTTGCAAATGCTTACAGCTGACCTGGCTATGTTTGTATACTTTTTATTTTTTAATAACTATATATTGGTAACATAGTCTCATACTGGGAACAATCTCCTATTTCCCATTAAAAGCTGTTTCAAGTGCACCTGTCAGTAGCTAATAGCTTAAAACAGAAGAACAGTGTCGCAAATCATTAGCATAGCCACATCAATGCACAGACAGGGCTGAGCTGATAGAGAGGCAGCATGGGAGCTAGGGACAGGGACAATGTAATTTGAATTCCTAATGCTGTAAATGGTTATTCATTAAAGTGAATTCTAAATTTAAGATCAAAATAGCCAAACTGGAAACCATCTCTAATTCAACAATGTCTTGAGTTTGGCTACACTGGCCTTAAATTTGAAACGCTCCTTGAATTCAATTTAAATTCTGACTTTAGTTAATAACCCTGGTAGTGTTGCTTTCACTGTATTATGAAAACTGAGGTTTTCGGCAATACGACTGATGGCCTCTTGGTGGCACTCTTGTACAACTAATGAGAATGCATCTCAGGTCAATAGATGCCACAGAAGGTATAGCTGCCACAGAAGGTATAGCTGCAGTAAAATTTCCAATGAAAAATAAAACTGTTATCCTTTGTAATCCATTTGCCTATATTTCAGATATATTATTCAGTGTGTGTGTGCATAAAATTTAATTTAGTCAACTAGACTTCAATGAAAACAGATACAGTGGGAGACTTTTGCTTCACGCTATGCAGTTACATACATTTTATTTATGCATTTTGTATACAAATAAAACTTTATATATATATATTCTTTGTTGTAGTTTGCTTAAAAACAAATGGCGTAAAACAATTTTCAGGTTTTTAGAAAATGTATTATTCCATTTTTTTTAAACTCCAGTGGTGAAAAAAGAAGTCAGGGTTGACGTCAGAGGCATTCTGAACATACAAACTGTAGTAGAGTTTGTTGGCTTGTACGGCGCTGTGGCTTAGTTGGTTAAAGCGCCTGTCTAGTAAACAGGAGATCCTGAGTTCGAATCTCAGCAGTGCCTACGTTATTTTTTTTTAATTATTATTATTTTCTTTATTCTATGTAATCAATCTTCCTCATTTTTTTTTTTTTGTACCAGCTGCAATATTTATGAATATTTACATAGATACCAAATATATATTTACATAGGTGTAGCAGCAAAACCATTGTTCATAATTTACAATCGGAATTAGAAGCTTGATAATGAGGTGTATTGTCACTATATTGCTACTTTGAAATACAATGCAAAAATGCATTCTAGGAATTTATGTATAAATTGAAATTTAGAATTGAGTAGTGTAAAAAATGTTAAAATGCTTTACAGATTGAATTTGGACGTAAAGCATAGGAATGAAATGTTGACGAAAAAAATAATTTCGTAGTCGGCAGGATTCGAACCTGCGCGGGGAAACCCCAATGGATTTCAAGTCCATCGCCTTAACCACTCGGCCACGACTACTACATAATGAACATTCGCTCAAAATACTATCTTAGTCACAAAATATTTTATCACAGAGTCAATTAATTAGGAAATATGCAATGGTTTCACACTAACAAAATATTTCAATATATCTAATTGACAATTAACAATTGTAACACATTGGAATGTACGGAGATATGATTTGTATATGTAAGGAGATATGATTTGATATGAAATTTAATTAAAGTGTCAAGTCTGCCACCCTTTTAAGTAAGCACATTTAGTAAAAAACAATGCCCTTTATATGTCTACTGGCAAACAGTATGTCTACCTCAGTACTTCCCAGCGCTGCTTAACAGGCAGAACATCCATATTCAATTGCATAGGGCTAGGGCTCAAAACTGAACGCATGTATTGGCTCCATAGCTCAGGGGTTAGAGCACTGGTCTTGTAAACCAGGGGTCGCGAGTTCAAATCTCGCTGGGGCCTACATCACTTTATTTATATAGATTTTTTTAAGTCTTCATCAAATGTTTTTACACAATGTTTTAACTCCTCAATACTGGAGGGCGTACTATTACGCCCAGCAGCGTTTAGAGACGCTTAAAATAGGGCGTAATAGTACGCCCTCCCGTCTTTCTATACTTACCTGGTCGCCGGCGATCACGGTTGGAGGGACTCCCAGGGAGCCCCGCGGGACGTCCGACCCCCTGGAAGCCCCCCGGCTATGTGAGAGTGAGGTCCTTGCAAGGACCTCACAATCACATGGCCGGGATTGCTGGCTTCTGTATTGCCAGCAGGGGGACCGCCTGCAATGACAGGTGGTCCCCCTGCTGGCTGAAAATAAAAATAAATTAAAGTTAAATAAGTGTAAAAAAAATAATAATATATACTTAGATCACATACACACTCATACACTGTCTAGGTGTATTTTACTATTAATATATATAATTATATATATATATATATATTAATATCAAATTATACGTAGACTGATACTGATTAAATATATATATAATTATAGTTATATATATATATATATAATATAAAAAAATAAATATGTAAATACGTTAAAAAATAAAATTAAAAAAATAATTAAAAATAAATAATTAAAAAATATATAGATGTGTGTTATTTCGTTCTAACTGTATTGTGAAATTAATATATATATATATATAAACATGAACCTAAAAATTTTGTGAACCATTAATATAAAAAAAAAAAAAAAATTGTTTCTGCCCGGTTTCGAACCGGGGACCTTTCGCGTGTGAGGCGAACGTGATAACCACTACACTACAGAAACTGCTTGGTATGATAGACACTGGAAACTGAGATGTCTGTACGGATGAGCTGCTCAGGAATTTCATTGTGTATTACATAATGAATCATTTGGTATACTTGATGTATCAAACCGCTAATTGCAAAAACATTCCATATATATTGAAGTCTATTATGTGAGCTGTTAGCTAAATTAACAAAACTTGCCGATATTAAAATATATGACCTCGTGGCGCAACGGTAGCGCGTCTGACTCCAGATCAGAAGGTTGCGTGTTCAAATCACGTCGGGGTCAATTTCTTTTTTTCTCTGCAATACTATAAGTTTTTCATATTGAGCAGTGGATATCACTCTTGTTATATTTATATACCAGTTTCAATACCTTATTTTATACTCTGTTATAGATGCAGTATATGTTAGTTTTCCACTGCATTCACACTTGGAATAATATGTATGAGTTACGTTTTACTGTGACTGCAATTTACAGGGATTTGTGAATGCTTTTTCCTTAGGTGCCAATAAAAGCCCACTATTCATCCTATCAGATGAATACAAATGGCATTTCAAATAATCCCTTTAGCAAATTAACAGCATGCAGAAATTGATTGTAAGCAGATAACTAAGAGATGAGTTTATTCACTATAAAAGTGAGCTAGCTGTGTTGGGGTGTGGTAGAATCTAATATATTTGCATTGTATATATCAGATCACTATATTTGCACATGGGGCTCATTTAAACAGTGCCAGGCTTTGAATGCGCTGTTAAATCACCCAATAGTATGTACTCCCCTCAGAGATCAATGCTGCACAATGCAATTTTTGAGCAAGCTTGTTGCAAAGACAAAAAAAAAAAAAAATGCATGTAATTTCTAGAATTTAAAAAAAAAAAAACTTTAATAAAAATGCAATCAGTACAAGAGTAATGCAGAAGGTAGGTGTGCAAACTGAAATTCACAGTGTATTTGTAGGTTGGTTGTTCCCACAGCTCCTAAAGAGGTTCACACAGAGGTATATAGACCATTATTTAAACTAATGCAGTCGTTTTTGGAGGTGTTCACCACTGAATCAAGGTTCACCTCAATGTCTGAAGAAGTAACTCATAGCTTAAGAATGTTACTGCATTAACAGGAAAGGCTCTGAGGCTGTTAATAGCAAGACCTTTCAAGAGGACTTTTGCTCCTTCCTCTTGAACACTTTTTACAAAACAGTCCAGAATCCCTCGGTATTTACTGCCATTGATCCCATCCATCTGCATGCGAGATTTTATTACATCCATTGGGTTTGCAGCAGCCCACCCTACAGTCCCTGCACAGCCACCAGCAAACAGCATTGCCCATGTACCTGAATATGAAAGAAAGAAAAAAGGGAGGGGTGGGGGAGAAATATTAATAAATTTAGATACTCTAAAATATCATGTATTAATACACAATAATGCATCATGCAGTTTCCGGAAAATAAAATAAAAGCACACACTTTGAAGCATCACTTAGAAGTAGCAGCCAAGCTATATTAGCTAAGCTAATTACCACAACCCTTATATAACTCCTAAAAGCTGGAGCACTCCTGCCTCCAGACGAGCCACGTGCGGCTCAAAAACTCCTGGCTCCTGGTGGGCCACACGCACCGAACATTCTGATCTGGCACACGACCCATACAGTATTAAGAATGCATCTCGCATCAAGAGCACGCTCATAAAGGGGAAATGGGACCCTAACCTTGCAGTCGGCTCCCATTGGCTCATGTCATTCCAGCACCCCCATTCACACACGTTTTGGAGTGCAGGCATGATGATGAAACCTAGGATTATTTAAATTTACCTGGTCCTAGATACTGTGCCCTATTGTGGTTTCTGTTCCCAGTACCCTTTAGTGCATTCCTTGAGTTATTGTATTGTATTCTGGCATTGACCTAGGCTTTGTTTCCTGACTCTGCATTTCTCTTTAACCCTTGCCTGTCTTGTTTGCCTATCTGACTATTACCGTGCACCCGACTTGAGCCAGTTCTCGTTTTTGCTGTCTCTCAGTTACCCAGACTTCGGCTTGTATTTTGACTATGCTTTACTCTGTCTAACGTTAAGTCTGGCCACTCTAAGGCCCGGTAATACGTTTATTTTCCTTAGTCCTTTCCTTGCTATCCTAAATTCTGCATGTTAGCATGTTAGTTTTGTACTTCGTGACAAGTAGTACATTCCGCTGCAAACCAATCTTCTTAGAAAAGGTACATTTATGTGCAAAAAAAAGGAAAAATACAAGCAAAAAATTGCCTAGAACAGTCCTCATATGCGCCAGTCCAATATCATACAGTATGTGAAGGTTGATAACAATATGTTCTGTGATCCTAGCCTGTCATAATATGCAGTAAATCCCACTGGGGGAAACAGGTCAAAAGTATACCAGAAGCTAGGAAAAAATGATAAAAGAACGGAACATGTAAGAAGGGGGGAAGAACCACATAGAAGTGACCCAAGGAAGGACCGAAATGCCCTGAACGCTTTTCAAGTCTGGCATGGCGCTTTCTCAACATGAGACTCGTCTTGTATTGAGAAAGCGCTGTGCCAGGTGTGAAACATGTTCAGGGCATTTCGGTCCTTCATTGGTGACTTTTATATGGTTCTTCCCCCTTCTCACAGGTGCTGTTCTTTTATAATTTTTTCCTAGTTTCTATTATATTTTTGACATATATTTTTTCCCCAGTGGAATTTACTGCATATTATGACAGGCTAGGACTGTTATGAGGACTGTTCTAGGCAATTGTTTGCTTGTATTTCATGTTTTGTATTTTTTCCCTTTTTTTTTTTCTAAGAATATTGGTGTGCAGTGGAATGTACTACTCAGGTCAGAGTGTGCGGACATTTGGGATCATTTAGGGATAAGATTTTCTATTGGAGTTTTACAAAGCCCAGCACCAAGGATGCGTATGTTAAATTTTATCCACATGATATGCATTTAATAACTGGCAACGATATTCCATGAGGTTGTAGCTGCACCAGTCTGTTCGTTTGATTGTTTAGTTGGTCATTTTTGCATAAATTAACCCATAAAATTAGGTGCATTGATAAACTTTTAAAGGACTACTCAAGAGTGGAAAACATTTTTACCATGGCATTTACATAATGCATTATCTCTATATTACTTTATTAAAATTTAATATTTTTTTTTGCTCAGGTGATGTTTATCCTGCAGAACATATGCAAGGCCCAAAGAAACTAGGACAAAGTAACAGAGGGAAAAAATAAAGGACAAACCATATTTTTTTTTCACATTTGTAGCACTATTGTACACAATGCTTCATAAATAATATATTTTAAGAGTGCCTTCTATGTATTTTCATAATAGTAAAATGTTTTAAGTGACCCTTTAATAGCAATATGACTCAGTTTAGAGTAAGGAATACCATACAGTCCCATTTACATCTTGTAGCAAAAATCAAATTTTGAGCAAAAAATCAACAGGTAGTAACTGTAAATTGCAGGCACTTATGTGAAAATGCATGAAATTTAAAAAGCAATTGCAATTCATAGTGATTTTGGAATGATTGTGCCATGCACATAGAAAGAAGGTGTCTCAGGTGGGCCTAGGCATACCCTACCATGCTCAGATAAATTGCCTAGGATCCAATGGGAAGTTTTGCAAGAATTTGGGTTAGATAGTTATATTTTCAACCTTATTTTAGAATTAAGTATTTTTAAGTAAACTTTACTTGGTAATATTCTCTTGGGCAGCAATGTGAAACTGTGCTACCCACCTCTCTCCCCAAGTTGTTCATGGACTACAACTCAAAATTCTCTGAAAGCCATAAATGGCAAGAGAATCATGGACATTGTAGTTCAACAACATCTGGGGGGGCTAGAGGTTTAGATGCATGCACTACATGCACACCTTAATGCAATGTGCAGCACATGCAAATATTTTATTTGCGATAATATGCCACCCACCTGGTACCTCTCCATCGTTGGTCATCCACTTACAGAGAACCTCATAAGCAAGGAAATATAGTCCAGTGGTTGGCACATCCCGTAAAGCCAAAGCTATAGAACCCCTGTAAAGTCCAGCAACGCCTTCTTTCCTGAAGATGCAGGCAGCGCAATGAAAAGGACCTTTGTATAAAGACTTCACATGGAATGTTTTCCCATGGCTCTTAAATGATTCGGTCTGATTCTGTAGTCTAACTTTGATGAGGTCAACTGGAGCAGTAAATATGACCTAAAGTGTTGCAAATGCAATGGAATAAATAAGCATTTAGCTAACAGCTAGTATTACAGGCTGCATTTTCCTTCAGAATATGTACACTGTACGGAAATAGGAACCGCATTTGCAAGATTTTCTTAGCTGTAGATTGTGCACTCTTTCTTATTTTACTATATCTTATTTCTATATCATTTTTTGCTTCGTTACATAATATTTTGTTACACCTTCACACTTCACCCAAACCTAGCATCACCTTTTAACCTCCTTTACTCCACCTATCCCTCTGGTAGTTACTGGGATGTGTTACTATGTTGCTTTAAATACTGCCAGACATACATATATTCACCATACAGGACGCAGGGAGTTTTTTACCCCAAATTTTGCAGTTATACCATAGATTACTCTATATCACTGGGGTTATTTGCTAATTGGAGTTATGTGAAGCCTTTACAGTGGAATTCCATCTTTTAGGCTATAAGGGGTGAGTTTTAAAAATAATAAAGTTGGAGGTCTTTTCAGTTTGGCATCTTTGGTCTAAAATTTGTTGCAGTTTCTTTATCAAATCTCCACAATTACAGATTTACTGAATATACTCTTTTGTCTCACATGTATCCCACTTCCTTTACATTATAAGCTTATTAACAGAAAAATCTCTTTAATGTGTGCTTAATCCTACCACCAAACAATGTAAGACTGTGAGTACATGCCAGTCTTTACCTATTTAGATTTGACTGATTTTCTCACGTTACCTGCACTAGTGGTTCCCAAACCCAGTGCTCAAGGCTTTAAATATTTGTCCGTTATGTTCCTATTTCATGTGTTGTCTCTGTTATATTCTGTTTGTCAATCACATGTGGTCAAATATCCACATTCTATAATTGTAAAGAGCTGCGTAATTTGTCGACACTATGTAAATAATAATAAAGATACAGAAAAAACCTGGACCTCGGGTGTGCATTGAGAACTGAGAACAACTGTTATAGATAGTGATTATTAGTGTGTGGCGTGGTATTTTTAACATTTGTAATGCTTGCTTTATATAGCAGCACAGGAACAGACACTCTGCATCAGATCAATAGAAGTAGGGGTCTACCACACCAGACAGGACCCAAGGTGCAGACTGTGCAAATATGCCTCTAAGACAATACAGCATAGAGTAGCAATGTGTTAGCAAGGACAGCATATACCGAGAGACACACCAAATTGCTGGGATTGTGTATTGAAGTACCTGCACAGAATATGTTGGTGGACCTACCTAATTCTAGATTGGAGACACAACAAAAGGTAGTTGAAAATGACAGGGCTATGTTTCTTTGGGACTTTCAGATCCAGACAGACAAGCAAGTAGTGGCTAACCAACCTGATATTGTGGTGGTAGACAAGAAACAGAACACTGCAGAGGTGGTGGAAATAGCAAGACCCAGTGACTATAACATCAGGAAGAAGGTGGACAAATACTAAACACTGAATGGGTAGCTAGAAAGGATGTGGAAAGTGAAGGCGATTGTGTCGCAGCTATGATAGTAGCACTCGGGCTGTGACCTCCAAGTTTAGGAGTGGCTTTAAAGGACCACTCTAGGCACCCAGACCACTTCAGCTTAATGAAGTGGTCTGGGTGCCAGGTCCTTCTAGGGTTAACCCATTTTTTAATAAACATAGCAGTTTCAGAGAAACTGCTATGTTTATTTATGGGTTAAGCCTTCCCCCAAATCCTCTAGCGGCTGTCTCATTGACAGCCACTAGAGGCGCTTGCGTGCTTCTCACTGTGATTTTCACAGTGAGAGCACGCCAGCGTCCATAGGAAAGCATTGTAAATGCTTTCCTATGCGACCGGCTGAATGCGCGCGCAGCTCTTGCCGCGCGTGCGCATTCAGCCAACGGGGCGGAACAGAGGAGGAGAGAAGGAGGAGAGCTCCCCGCCCAGCGCTGGAAAAAGGTAAGTTTAAACCCCTTTCCCCCTTCCAGAGCCGGGCGGGAGGGGGACCCTGAGGGTGGGGGCACCCTCAGGGCACTATAGTGCCAGGAAAACGAGTATCTTTTCCTGGCACTATAGTGGTCCTTTAACAGATTCCAGGAGTGACATCTGAGATTGCTGTCCAGAAGAGTGCAGTTCTAGATACTGCTCAGAACCCTCAGAGTCCCAGGCCTTTGGTAGTGGACCCGTGAATGAGGGATATACAAAAATATTATATAACACGCAGGAGGGGTGAATAAATAAATAAATAAATATATATAGAGAGAGAGAGAGCAATGATTGAACGGAGCACTCCACAGGATTTTTTCAAAGTGCGTATTGAGAAAATCAACGTTTCATCCTTCCTGGGTCTTTATCAAGGTTGATAAAGACCCAGGAGGATCAAAACGTTGATTCTCTCAATCCACACTTTGAGAAAATCCTGTGGCGTGCTCCGTTTATTCATTGCTCTATATCTACGCTGGGAAGCACCTGGGTTATTTTGGAATTATTTAACTTTGGGTGAGGGCCAGAATATTGGACTATTTTATATATATACACACACACATATATGTGTTTAATACAATGTTAAACAAAAATCTGCACACCAGTCAAGCCATAAGACTTGCTTTTCACACAGAAATCACAAATTTGCAGTGATGTTACTAGCGCAAAGGGTTCATATTAACTATCCACAGACTTCAAGTGGAAGGGGTTTTCAATCAAAATTTTTCCCACCACTGTTTTGGTTGATGCTCTATATATATATATATATATATATATATACTTACTTGAACCCCTCCAGCAAAGCAACCAGCCATAGAAATGTGGAGATTATGTTTTGGATTTGCTCGATCTTCAAAATTTTTGCCACTTAGGTAGAGCAGTGCATTGCTATATGATCCAAACATTAAAGAATTGCTGATCGCCACCATTCCAACAGGGAAACTCATACCTTTAAAAAAACCAAATATCTAGAAAAGAGAATTCAAAGATAGTCAAGATAAAACAATGCATCATTAGGTCATCTGGCATCTCTTTTTCTTAATTTTTACTATGAGTTTTTGGTAACATTCAAAGGACTATGAATTTTGGTGTTTGTGCACTGTGGGAAACAGTTGACTGCAGGAGTATACAATTTTCTAAATGTGATGTTTCAGTACAAGTTTTTTATGGATCGCATGTACAGTTTGTATTATAGTTAGAATTAAGATTAAGAAATATGTTTAGAAATGTGCAGAGTTTATTGTGTATTTAGGGCTAGGGGCAGGGATATTATGTCCCAATAGGATTTGCATCAGTATATCAACATGAATTATACAGTGTCAAGCAAGACTCCAATGTTTCAGTGTAGGGTTAAGGCTAAGGTTACAGTTAGGACCAGAGTAGGGGCTGTGGTTTGGGTGAGGATTAGGGCAAAAGCTTGGGATCCTTTAATCTAAGGGCAGCACTTGGAGATGCATGTCCTACCCTTACCAATATTAGTGGAGACCACACTCCTGGGCAGCAGCTGATATTTGTAGCTGCTGTCTTTATTTCAGACCCCATCTAGTATCTGATATGCTAGGTAAGAGCTCTTTTATTCATCAAATATTTAATGTGCTTATTCCGTTAGTGACCATAATCAGAGTCCTATTGTTTTTCATAAACAAAGTGTTGGAGGCACCATGGCATTTGGAAGTAACGTAAAGTACCGGTAATGTTTGTTTGTTTATATATATATAGAGAGAGAGAGTTTGCAGTGCTAAATCCTAATTTTCAAACATTGCATGCAAGGTCCAGAACCCATAAAAAACATTAACATTAGCACATCACACAATAGTGAAATAAAACTGTCCTTACTGTCTCTCTTCCATACGTTTTCAATATGCAGTCCAGAATTCCACGGTATTGGGACTGTGTTTGCAGGCGTACCTGTAACAAAATGTGAACATTACTCATAACCATCAATACATTGTTGTTTTTTTTAAAAAGACAGTAAACATGTATGTGCAGAATATCTGACAAAAGTAGTGTTTTACATTGAGCTATAATGACACCTCTAATGGTCCTACTCCCGCCGGTCTGAATGGAGAGGAAGGGGGTTAAACACTCATCTGTCTCCAGCGCCGGGCTCCCTCTGCGCTGGGTAGTCTCCTCCTCCTTTGGCCGTCATCTGCTGAATGCACATCGCCTCAAAGAGCCGCACGCGCATTCAGCCAGTCCATAGGAAAGCATCCTCAGTGCTTTCCTATGGACGCTGGCGTCTTCTCACTGTGAAAATCACAGTGAGAAGTGCAGAAGCCCTTCTAGCGGCTGTCAATGAGACAGCCCTAGAGGCTGGATTAATCCATTTGTAAACATAGCAGGGTAAATCCTAGATGGACCTGGCACCCAGACCACTTCATTGAGCTTAAGTGGTCTGGGTGCCTATAGTGGTCCTTTAAGGGGATTTGGAAGCCACTAGAAAAGCCTATTTGAATGGACTGGGCATTTAGCACCCGGGCTTCGGACCAAGAAGACCACCATAATTATGGACCAAGGCCCTTAATTATATGTGTTATCCCCTCTGATGCCACCACGCCAAAGTCCGAGGAGTTGGAACCTATGACACCCTGCAGACACTGTACATTATATTAGAACCCTCATCCACTGCACATAAGATAAGTGCAGAGGTTAAAGGGACACTGTAGTCACTATAACCACTTTGTCTCTTTGAATTGGTTATAGTGCCTGGAGTGCCCTGGCACTGTCCCTCCATTCAGTGTTGCACCATGTTTGTGCAGTATGCCACAAAATAAGAGTCCCTGGCCACCCACAGTCCGGCCCCTTCTGTATGTGTAGCTAAGGCAGAGATTACACACTTCCTTGTTGTCATACCCATTCATACCGTCAGTTGGAGCTCTGACAGGTTAAAAGCAGTCAGCTGACACTCTCAGCCAATCACAGCTGCCCATTGCTGCTCAGGGTAATACTTCCTTATTAGCCAAAGCAGCACAGATGGGATGGACTACTGTGGTCTCTTGTTTAGCATTAAAACATTACAACATTAAAAACAGTTTAATGCTGAAAGAAATGATGGCACCAGGGGACTCCATACACTATAATCAGCTTAATGAAATGAAGCAGGTACAGTGCCTACGGTGTCCCTTTAAGTATTCTTACGGCCCCTCCTTATTAACAGGGTTCCTGGAGACACTTTTCCAATTTCCCATCTCTGAACAGAAGGTGGAAAAGAAGCTGGAAATTGCTCGGATCCTGGACCACCACTTTTTTTTTATCTTTTATTTATTAGAAGGGACACTCTAAGCACCAGAACCACAATGTTGTAATATTCTATCTCTCCATTGTAAACACTGTCTTTTTCTGTGATAAAGCAGTATTTACAGTTGTCCCTAAGGACACCTCTAGTAACTGTCACCCAGAGAGCCATCACAATTGTCTTGTTTTATGCTGTTTTTGGAAGTTGTATAGAATTGGTTAAAGGCAATACATAAAATATTTTGTGTGTATTACTATGGAGGAAATCTTTCATGAATTCATTCTTTTGTTTTGTAGTAAAGCTTTGCTAACAGCATAGCCTGCAAGAAGACAATATATCAGATTGGCTCCTGCCTTGTAAATCACTTCCAAAAATATGGACCCCTTAGTGTGTTAACATAACACAGAAAATGGATGTTGATGGACCTTTTTAAACTCTATGCTGAGAGTATTGTTAATGGATCTACAGATGCCTACAATATACTATATATAAAATATTGTTAACTGGTAGAAAAAAAGAAGAGGAAATTCTTTTTAACAGGTTGCTTTCTCCCCCTCCCCTTTGAGCCCTTACTCATAGAGTCCTAATAGTCTTTATTATTATTATTATTGCCCTTTATTTAGCGCCAACAGATTCCGTAGCGCTTTACAATACTATAACAGGGGGAATTTAACAATAATAGGACAATTACAAGAAAACTTACAGGAACGATAGGTTGAAGAGGACCCTGCTCAATTGACTTACATAATAGACTATGCTATTACCTTAACTGTATCAATAGGGTGTCCAACAACAATACCAATGGCACCTATAATTGGAAAAAATAAGGTGATTACAGTTCTACATGTTCATAACAAACGAATATAGATATATATGTTTTATATATATATATATATATATATATATATATATATATGTATATATATATATATATATATATATTTCATGGGTGATTTTTTTTTTAATTGTTATTAATAAGTTATATGTTAAAGGAACACTCCAGGAACACTAAGGAACAATTCTTTAAAACATTCTTGTATAGTTTAACACTGAATTGGAGTCAAGTCTGGATTCCTCTCTTGAACAGTTCGGTAAATGCATTTATTTAAGCCTCAGTGTATAGGGCCGGATTAAGAGCCCATCGGATCTAGTGCTAACAATTACAGTGGACTTTATTACAGAATTTTATTGACAGAAAACATTTTAAAAAGTCATACCTCCCAAGCGTCATGTATCTGATGGAGGTGTTGCTGGAGGGGAACTCACAGGATGTAACTATAAGAAAACGCATACCCTATGCTAATGCTAATCTCTCGCTTACATCTCTCAAGCAAATCCATACCCCCGAGCAGCAACATCTGGTGAAGGTAACTGCTCCTCTTGCATTCTGGTGGCCATGGGGTGCAGGAAACTGTAGTTTTTAACTTACCTGAACCTGTCCTTGGTGGGCACCGCCATCTTCTTCCTTGAGGTCCTCTTCAACTCCTGGCGTTTCCTCTGCTAGGAGCCAACGTCAGTTCTGTAATCTGGCACAAACACGAGAGCACAACACTAATGACTATGGAGGATCCCACTAGGCCTAGTGATGGCTGACAGCTTGACAAGGCTTGACAAACGGTAACTCCACCCCTTGTCAAGCGTAGAAACACACATAAGACCAAGTAGTTCCTACTTTGCCTTATATGTTTTGACGAGGATGGAATTTCAGTGAAATTCCAACACAGCCATTATGAGTATTTCTCTTTTTTTTTTGGTGGGGAGGGGGTTCACAGAGCGACTTTAAGCAATGTTTGTGTTTCCTTTCCTTTGTCTTCTACTTGTTTAACTTCTTACTGTTCTGTTTGTTTAACTACCTTATGACCAAGGTTTTTCCAGTTTCACTATTTTAATGACAAACATAATATTGCCCTTTATACACACAGGGTTGTTTACTAAAGTGAGAACTTTTGGCATTTAAGGGGAATTTCAATTTAGTGGACAAAATAGCTGAACTGGCAAAAAGTCTCAAATTTAGCATGGCCTCCAAGTTTGAAATTCACTTTGAATTCTTGCCAATTCTCATTTTAGTAAATAAGCCTGGAAGACATGTATATTGCACATATAACCATTTTATTATTTGCTCAAAAGCAAGTTTAAAGATAGCACTGCCCCAATCCCAACTTGTTGGGTTCTACCCACTTAACCTCATGACATACAATGCCATGTTCAAACCCAGCTGCACCTCCAGTCATCAATAAGGGGGAGAAAATAAACGAGAGATATAATCATGACAGATACATTGTTTTTTCTTTTTCTAACACATATCTATCTGTAGTCCTTACAGTGCCAACTGTATTGTTGGAACAATAACTGGGCGTAGGGAAAGGTGCCCCACCTTCCACTGTGTACCAGTGTCAACTGAGATAAGTCCTTATTAACTTACCTGAAATCCACCCTGCGACAAATTCAATGACAGGCATTGCTACACGATCAGATAAGAACAGATTTCACCTTAAACACAAAGAAGAATTTTGATCTCATGTACAAATCATCTGAACTCATCTGAACTTTGAATCATGTGTTAGATGTTTAACTAATAGATTTGCTGTTAATGAATCTCTACCATTAGTTACAAATGTGATAAATTGATAGCATTATGGGTTTAGACATTAACTGCAAGGAAACAAACAGAAAATCTATATTTCATATTTAACTCATTTTAAACAGTTGCACTTACAAGATATTGGATTTTCATGTACATTTTACATATGTTTACATATTGGATTATCATATATTTAATCTTTAAAGGATCACTATAGGGTCAGGAACACAAACATGTATTTCTGACCCTATAGTGTTAACACCACCATCTGGCCCCCCCGAGCCCCTCATGCCCCCATAAATATAGCAAAATCTTACTGTATTCAAGCCTGAAGCTGTAGATCTGTATGCTGTTTGCCTCAGAAAAACAAGCAGTCTGCTGTCATCATCGGAAGTGGTGGCCTGATCCAATCACAATGCTTCCCCATAGGATTGGCTGAGACTGACAAAGAGGCAGATCAGGGGCAGAGCCAGCACAAGTCAAACACAGCCCTGGCCAATCAGCATCTCCTCATAGAGATGAATTGAATCAGTGCATCTCTATGAGGAAAGTTCAGTGTCTGCATGCAGAGGGAGGAGACACTGACTGTTTGGATGCATTTTAGGCAGCCATGACCCAGGAAGGATCTCTAACAGCTATCTGAGGAGTGGCCAGTGAAGTTATCACTATGCTGTAATGTAAACACTGCATTTTCTCTGAAAAGACAGTGTTTACAGCAAAAAGCCTGAAGGTAGTGATTATACTCACCAGAACAAATTCAATAAGCTGTAGTTGTTCTGGTGACTATGGTGTCCCTTTAATTTGTTTTGGAGAGGCTTGTACTTCATTATAGTGAACTAGGTAAAATAATGACCTTAAATCCAACCTGTATTAATAATAATACTTTGAGCCAGATCACTGGTACTTAAAGTGTTAGTTTACATAATCACATAAGGCAGCCGCTCCCATTAAGATGTTGCGTAAAAGCAGGGATTTCTGAAACTGTGTGAAAGGTCAACTGATAAGCATGAATAAGTTATGGATTTATTATGGATTTTAAGAAGTCATTATTTTCAGTAAAACCAATAATATGAAAATTATAGCATGTGCTTACAGGACCACTCCTCGCTTTAAAAAAGGAGTAGATTTACCCCGTATAAATGCATTTTTCATGCATGTATTCATTGGGGGTATATGCATTTCATTGAAGGTATATTTTAAAAGAGTAGGGAAAAGCTGCAGCCTTTGCAAGCCCTCCAATTTATCCACGGAAGAGACCTTTAGTCTTTCCACGGGGAAATAATCTAAAAGAGGCTTCCCAATGAGATGTCTCTGAGGCTCTCCCTCCTTGCACACACACACACATCTGTTCGTGCACACATTGCACAGCTTTCATAAAGAACACTTGTCTGATCTTAAGTCTAAGAAAAGGTATAGAGGGAGAGGCAGGTGCACCAACGTAGAGTGCGCCTGCTACTTCCATTAGCTATGGGGAGCTAACAAAAGCAGGAAACAAACATCGGCATGGGGTGCAGAGTGTTAAACATATCACCAGAGCAGCAGGGAATAAATAGCAGTCAGCGGCTGGACCACCAGTGCAGGCAGTTAACTTGAGAGCCATGGACTCCCTTCGCAACCGGTGGAGGCAGGGCCGAAGGCAGTCAGGCTCCTTTGTAACTAGGAGAGGCAGCTGAAGAACACAGGAGATCAAGCTGGACTGAGAGAGAGGTTAAGTGTTCTATTTGTATTAGTGTTTGTGTGTCAGTGTATGCATCTATTAATGTGTTTGTATTTGTGTGTCAGTGTATGTATCTGTGCATGTGTGCCAGTCTATGCATCTATGCATGCATGTTAGTATTTGTGTGTGCTACTGTATGTATCTGTGCATGTGTGTCAGTGTATGCATCTGTGCATATGTGTTAGTTCTTGTGTGTGTGTGTGTGTGTGTGTGTGTGTATGTCAGTGTACGCGTCTGTGTATGTGTGTCATTGTTTGTGTTTGTATCAGTTTTGTATCTGTGCATTTGTGTCAGTAGCACGCTTCCTAGCTCTGCAATAGGACACAGGAGTGTTTCAGCAACTAGGTCAGCTTTCACACTCCTCCAGGAGTTCGTGGCAAGTGTTTGTGGGAAGGAGCGTTTGTCACACTGTGCATATGTGTCTACCAATTGACCATCTCTGCTCTATAGCAAGGGGGGCCTTAACAGATTCTTGCACCGGGGCCTGAGACTTCCAGTTTCACCTCTGCTTGGGTAAGAAATGCCCTGCACAGACTAGAGAGACTATCAGTTCCTTATAGCCCCAAGAAAAGTTTGCTACACACAGACAAAACACGTGTTTATTTAAGTTTGGACACAATTGGGACACTGTAGCTCAGGGCTGCCATCAGGGGGTGACAACCATGATGGTTGTCACGGGCTCGGCGCTTATGGGGCCGGGTGCCACATTCCCCATTTGTAGCAACGGAACTGGGGAGCATCGGGAAGCCCATGCGCTAAGGGCAATGCGCTATGTGTGTGTGTGTGAGAATCTGTGTGTCTGTGTATTTGCACGTGTGTCACTGTGTGTGTGTCTGTTTATCTGCTTGTATATATATGTATCAGTGTGTGGAAGTGTATACAGCTGACAGTTTAACAGAGGAAAGCCGTTACCGTGTGAAACCACGGGAGTATTGGCTTGTCACCCTCCGTGGGACCAATAGGGAACCTCCATAGCCGAACAACCCATCCCCCCCAGCCGAGTTATGCGATAGAAACCAAACTGACACATATGCTCTATCCAGGCTTAGGGTCTCTGTGTTAGCAATTGCCCAACCCTATGGTCAAGTCCTTGCGACCGTTTCCCCCCCCCCCGCCGGCAAGTGTACTAGGAGCTGCCCCAGTGGCCTCCGTGCAGGCAGAAAAGCCTGTGTGAGCAAGGTAAGCTTACGGTTCACTGGACCGCGAGAGGACCCCAATGACGTCTCTGAAGGGTTCTGACACAGCCGTCTACCTGCCGCCAGAGTGTAGCTAGCCAGGGCGACGGAGCCACTCAGGAGCTGGAGTAGTTAGACACCCTGATAAACCCAGATACTGAGAGCAGGATACCAGCGTTCTGCAGAAGAAATGTCGGTCTATAGCACAGCAGCTCGTCAGACCAATCACGGTAGGGTAGGGAAAGACGGAGTCCCTTTTAAAGGTCCATAAACCCCTCCCACAACTTCAGGCCAAGCCTTCCAATATATAACAGAGCTCCACAGTAATAATACTCACTGTAATGTGTCCTCAAACTACAATAAATGTGTTTAGAAATCAGACTGTAAATTACATTTTAGTTGCATAAATTATTATTAGTAGTTCACCTAAACTTTTTCAGTACAGCTCTGCCCAGTAAAGCTCACTCACACCCCATTAGCAGGCATTTGTTTTGTTTAGCTCTCATTTAATTTTAACTTTGATTATTATATTCCTGCAAGCCACAAGATGGTGCTCAAGTACAATGTTTGTTTTTAATTTTTTTGCCTGTCGTTCTCTACTTAACCTCTTTTACCTTCTGGGGTCTTTGCATATTTCGCAATGACCCTCGATGGTGACATCACCTCTTGGCATGATGAACAAATTAACAGCTAGGGCATATGTTATAGAGCCAGTTCAATATGTGATGCAATACATAGAAATTGTATAGGGCAGCATTTCCCAATTGGTGTTCAGGGTTCCGCGTAACACCAATTGGGGTTCCGCCAAAAATTAAAAAAATGAAATGGCCGTGGGCGGCGAGGGAGCAGTGAGCAGTGATCTCCCTGTTCAGCTCCCTCGCACGCACAGCAGTGATGCTGGAACCGGAATATGACATCACTTCAGCTCCGGCATCACTAGGAAGCTGAGCAGGGAAATCACTGCTCCTTTGCCGCTGGACCCCAGGGACTGAACGCTCAGCACGTCAGCACTTCTAACGGTGGAGTAAAATGTAAAATAGGCTGGGTGGAGTAAAATGTAAAAAAATAATAATTGTATGTGTGTCTGTTAGGGAGTTTGTATGTGTTTGTGAGTCTGTCAAAGAGTATATGTGTGTGTTTGTCAGTGAGAATGAATGTGTGCTTTTCAGTAAATGTGTGAGAGTGTATGTGTTTGTCTGTGAGAATGTATCTGTTCTTGTCAGTGAGAGTGTTTATGTGTTTGTACGTGTGTCTGTAAAAGAGTATGTGTGTTTGTCAGTGAGAATGTATGTGTGTCTGTCAAAGAGTATGTTTATCAGTGAGAGTGTATGTGTGTCTGTCAAATAGTATGTGTGTCTGTGAGTGTGTCAGTGTGTATCTGTGGGTGCAAGTGTGTATATATGTAACTGTGTGTATCTGAGTGTGTGTGTATTTGTGAATCAAGATGTGTGTGTCAGTGTGTATCTGAGTGTGTGTATCTGTGTGTCAAGGTATGTGTCAGTGTGTATCTGTGTGCCACTATGTGCCAATGTGTGTGTGTATTTGTGTGTCAGATACATATAGACACACACACAGATAAACACTGACACAGAGATACACACACTGGCGCATACAAACACAGATACACAAACATACACACACACACAGATACACACTGTGTGTCAAGGTGTGTGTATATGTGTCAGTGTGTGTATCTGTGTGCCACTATCTGCCAGTGTGTGTGTGTATCTGTGTGTCAGATTCATACACACTGGCACATACAAACACAGATACACACACCTTGATACACAGACACATACAAACACAAATACATACACTTTGACACACAGATACACACACCTTGACACACAGATACATACATACATACACACACACACACACACACAGATACACACTGTGTGTTAGTGTGTATGTATCTGTGTGTCAGTGTGTGTATCTGTGTGCCCCTATGTGCCAGTGTGTGTGTGTGTGTGTGTGTATCTGTGTGTCAGATACAGACACACACAGAGATAAACACACTGGGACATACAAGCACAGCTATACACACCTTGACACACACCGACACATACAAAAAAACGGTGCATTTTTTTTGGGGTGGTGGGTGGGGGGTTCCACAATGTTGATACACTATGTCAAAGGGTTCCACTGGAAATATTAATTGGGAGCCTCTGGTATAAGGAATAGCACAGAGAATGTTTGAGTAGCTCATGGATGCCATTTTTTTTATACCTGGAGCTTCTGTTTATTTCATTACATCTCTGATTTTTAAAGTTGCATTTCACATCTACCAGCCCACTTTCTAATCCTTTTACTTTTCGCAGTTTTGTCTGTTTAACCCCTTAAGGACCAAACTTCTGAAATAAAAGGGAATCATGACATGTCACACATGTCATGTGTCCTTAGGGGGTTAATAGTCTACATATATAGTTTTCTGTATCATTTACTTTACTTTGCTTTGGAACAAGCAGTTCATTACCATTTGTACTATAAATCTTTACCTGCCACTATTACAGCAAGAGCTGATAACAATTTTCATTTATTACTTGGATAACATTGGGTTGGTCTGCTTAACTACTGAATCTGCTAAAGTTTCTGTCTCAGTGTATAATATAAGTTTTACAACTGGGGAACATAGAGTAGCTTTGCTCTCCTGTGATGCCTAATACATGGCTTTAGCTGAAACTATACAAGAACATTTTCACATTATATAGTTAGTCAGAGCAATGAACAATCAATGTTAATGTCATTATGGTGTAGGGATAAATATCCATTTGGTAAAGAATTATATGGTATTACCTTTAAGAGACACTGAAAAACTAGATTTTACAAGATAAAAGTGTGCACTGTCAGTGTCTCTGCACACTGATAATGTATTCAAGTTGTCTACTGCATGTTGAACTCACTTTTCCTCCTTGTAGGTGCAGTGTCCATGGGACCTAACTATCCTATACATCCAGTACCACTGAGGATTCAACTTATAAAATGCTATGGATCGACTTCATGGTAATTGATACAAACTTTGTGTAATGGATTTGACTTACATCTAATAACGTAAAAGACACATACAGATCACAAGGTTACAGACTCGGAATCAATTAACAGACATAGCGCACCTCCTAAACGCTTATTTGAATTTACTACTTAGTGGGACAGGAGCTCCCATGCCTTGGCCTTTTGGACAAGCTTGAGGGCCAGCCTCTTGCCACAGACTATGGATCTGGTCCCTGAAAGAGGTGTGTGACAGCAGCAATCAATGTACACATTATACATTGTTACTTTTATAAGTATGCTGACTAGAAGTGTGTACATTTGCATATGCAAATATTGGTATGCAAATGAGGGCAACATAAAACGTAGTAAAATTTATATATTATTGGTTTTTAGTGTGTTTAAAAATGTTACTTACAATGTTTAATTATAATTGCTCATTCTCCAATGTTCTATATATTTGTATTTTTATGGTTGCCACCACATATTTAAGGAATAGAACTGCAGAGGAATAGGCAGAGGGGACGATATCTATCTGGAAGGAGAGAGCACCAGAGAGACCCCAGTCAAGCTTCGGCGATTGAGGCTGAAGCGTTCTAGTGTCCTGAAAAACAACTAAGAAGCAGACTGGGTAGAGGTACTCGGTCGGAGTACAGGAGCCTTGCCACACTTAGATACTTGACCGTATTATATAATCAACTATTTTTACAATCCTTTACTGCTTACCTGCTTACAGACATGGAATAACTAAACAAATTTTGTATTTCGACCTCATCCTTTTTTATTGTGGAAATTAAGTTAAGGAAACCGGAATTGGATACAGATCACTCTTTACTTCTAAACGCTTCATATATTAACAAATCCCATGGTTACAAAACCAACTCTGAACTTTCTGTACAACCACTAACTGCTTACAAAAAGACTCACCTGAATTCTACGAAAGTTTGCGATTTGTACTCAGACTGAATCCTCACTTTTTCAGCAAAGGGATACTCATATTCCAGAGAACCTATGAGGAAATTAACATATAGAACCACTATTCTTCACTTTTACAAGCTTTTACTATAGTCTTACAAGGAATTTAGTTTGTTGTCAAAGATGTAAACATATTAATATCAAATACCACTACATTCGATCAGTGAGCAATGAAGTGTGGCGTGACTCTTCATTACTGCCCAACCAACAGGATAGCAGATAACGAAGCTCAAGCTTATTTGTTTGGAATGTCCGATTTTATTAAAACAAATATAAATATATATATGTATATATAAATATATATATATATATATATATATATATATATATATATATATATATATATATATATATATATATATATATATTGTAGATTGGATTAGCCGTATTAGTCCAATAGACAAGATGCCAAAATACCAGAGTATTGCAGTATGCAATGATACCTTTTTTATTGGACTAACATAAAATTTCAAAGACAAGCTTTCAAGAGTTTTCC